TGCAAACTAGTACTGCCACAATGGAGAACAGTGTGGAGATTCCTTAAAAAACTGGAAATAGAACTGCCATATGACCCAGCAATCCCACTGCTGGGCATACACACTGAGGAAACCAGAATTGAAAGAGACATGTGTACCCCAATGTTCATCGCACCACTGTTTACAATAGCCAGGACGTGGAAGCAATCTAGATGTCCATTGGCAGATGAATGGATAAGAAAGTTGTGGTACATATACACAATGGAATATTACTCAGCTATTAAAAAGAATGCATTTGAATCAATTCTAATGAGGTGGATGAAACTGGAGCCTATTATACAGAGCGAAGTAAGCCAGAAAGAAGAACACCAATACAGTATATTAACGCATATATATGGAATTTAGAAAGATGGCAACAATGACCCTATATGTGAGACAGTAAAAGAGACACAGATGTAAAGAACAGAGTGTTGGACTCTGTGGGAGAAGGTGAGGGTGGGATGATTTGAGAGAATAGCATTGAAACATGTATATTACCATATGTGAAATAGATATCCAGTCCAGATTTAATGCATGAGGCAGGGTGCTCAGGTCTGGTGTGCTGGGATGACGCTGAGGGATGGGATGGGGAGGGAGGTGGGAGGGAGGGTCAGGATGGGGAACATATGTAAACCCATGGCTGATTCATGTGAATGTATGGCAGAAACCACCACAATATTGTAAAGTAATTAGCCTCTGATTAAAATAAAACAAAAACATATACCAAGGGCTGGATGCTCTGCAGACTTAGTGTTAAGTGTTCCAGTCATAATAAAGATGTCTAAAATGTTCTTGAAAAGTACAAAAACAAAAAAAAACCACACACACACACACACACACACACACACACACACACACAGACACCACCTACATTGCATGGACAACAGAGGAGTCAATGGGAAGTTAAGTTCATTGAGGACAAAATCAGAGACGTTTTGCAACTGTGTCCCAAACTGAATAAAGTGCTTAATGGAAGTGTGCAGGGAGGGAGGGCGTCCGAGTTTCCGCATCCTGGACACTGCTTTTGTCCCTGATGAGGCAGTCCTAGGCCAGGAAAAAACTCCCTCAGGTTAGCTGAGTCACTCAGGGCTACTCGCACCATAGCATTCTTTAACTTCCACAATTGCTTTATTCACCAGCATTTGTGTAAGTTCACCTTGGCAATCTCTTCAAGCTCTGAGTTTTGTTTGGGGTATCAAATTCCTTCTTTGTCAATGACACCTTCAGAAATCCCCTCTTATGATTCCAGGAAATAAGCCTGTAATGGTTTATTTCCAGATCAGCCCTACTCCTGGGCTCCTGGGAGAAGCAGAGCCTCTCCAGGGAGACAAAGTCTCCTGAACACAAAATCACAGCCAAGGGTACAAAGCACATGAGAACTGGGCTTCAGGGAGTGAGAGGCAGCATAGCAAATGCTCAAGAAATTAAGACTTTGGTATTATTTTGGGGTTTTTATTATGTTGGCATTATTCTTTGCAGTATATAAAATAAGTAGGGCTTCCCAGGTGGCACTAGTCAAAAGGAATCTGCCTGCAATGCAGGAGGCCTGGGTTTGATCCCTGGGTTGGGAGGATTCCCTGGGGGAGGAGGTGGCGGCCCACTCCAGTATTCTTGCCTGGGAAGTCCCATGGGCAGAGAAGCCTGGTGGGCCCGCAAAAAGTTGGATGAAACTGAGCACACATATAAAATAAGTATGCTTAGAGATAAAAGAAGAACTTGGAATAAGTATAAATAAGAGAACACCAAGCAAGAGAAGAGGCAGGTTTGGAAAGAACTACTGAGGACATTTAAGAATGAGAAATAGGGACTTCCCTGGTGGTCCAGTGGTTAAGACACTGTGCTCCCAATGCAGGGGACCCAGAATCGATCCTTGGTCAGGGAACTAGATCCTGCTTGCTGCAACTAAAGATCCCACATGCTGCAACTAACACCTGGTGCAACCAAATAAATCAATTAATAAAAATAAAATATTTTTTAAAAAAGGAATGAAAAACAGAATCACTGAAATGAAGAGCTTAATGTGCAGGTTAAGTAGCAGATTAGACAGAGATGAAGATGCAGCTGGAAAACTAGAGGGGAAAGTGGAGGAATTCACCCAGAACATGGTGATTGGAAAAAAAAAAAAGACTAAAAGACAAACATGAGCAAGAATATAAGACTTGGAAAATGGTGTGAGAAAGTCAAGCATAAGTTAGATTGAAGCAAAAGTCAACAGAAGAATCGATGAAATTTTTCCAGAATTCCCGAGAGACACAAAGCTTTATCCTCAGGAAGCACATTGACTCCAAAGCAGGATAAATAAGAAGAAACCCACTCTAGAGATGCCACCATGAAAACAGAACACTGGATGTAAAAAGGACCACAACACAGTGGAGAAGTAACATCAGTCACATAGGAAAGGCAGAGGGACCACCAGATGATCCCTGGAGACAGTAGGAGGTGAAATGTTATAATCCACATCTGTGCCCTCTGCCCACAAGCCTTCTGAGCTGAAATCAATAATAAATGTATAACCTGAAATCCCCATGCACTTAGAAAATAAAAGTACCTTCCATATCATTCATGGGTCACAGAAGAGTAATAACAGATATTTAAATGCTCAAAAGAAGAAAAGAGGGTGGCAGAGGATGAGATGGTTGATAGCATTACTGATTCAATGGACATGAACTTGGGCAAACTCCAGGAGACAGTAAGGAACAGGGAGGCCTTGCATTCTGCAGTCCATGGGGTCGTGGGGAGTCGGACATGACTTAGCAACTGAACAACAAAAATGCTCAAGAACTGAACAATGATACCAAAGTGAAGTTGCTCGGTCGTATCTGGCTTTTCGCGACCCCGTGGACTGTAGCCGACTAGGCTCCTCTGTCTGTGGAGTTTTCTGGGCAGGAGTACTGGAGTGGGTTGCCATTTCCTTCTCCAGGGGATCTTCCAGACCTGGGGGTCGAATCTGGGTCTCCTGCATTGCAGGCAGACGCTTTACCATCTGAGCCTCCAGGGAGGCTGAACAATGTTACTGCTACACTCCAAAATACACCAGACACAGGACTACAGAACCAGGAAGAAACGTTTAACTTTAAATTCTTACAATATGAGCCATTAGAAATAATGCGTTTGAATCAGTTCTAATGAGATGGATGAAACTGGAGCCCATTATACAGAGTGAAGTAAACCAGAAAGATAAACACCAATACAGTATACTAACGCCTATATATGCAATTTAAAAAAATGGTAATGATAAGTCTATATGCAAGACAGAAAAAGAGACACCAATGTATAGAACAGACTTTTGGACTCTGTGGGAGAAGGCGAGGGTGGGATGGTCTGAGAGAATAGCATTGAAACAAGTATACTATCAAGTGTGAAACAGATCGCCAGTCCAGATAGGATGCATGAGACAAGTGCTCAGGGCTGGTGCACCGGGAAGACCCAGAGGGATGGGATGGGGAGGGAGGTGGGAGGGGGGATCAGGATGGGGAACACATGTAAATCCATGGCTGATTAATGTAAATGTATGGCAAAAACCACTACAATATTGTAAAGTAATTAGCCTCCAACTGATAAAAATAAATTTAAAAAATTCTTATGATAGAAATAAAGCTTGAAAATTAAGAAGCTATACTTACAAAAATAACAAAGAAGTTAAGCTTTCAACTCAATAACCTGTAAAGAGATCACCAGGAAAAAAACCCCAGAAAGAATAGAAAGAAATGATGACAATGGAAGTATAAATTAATGACAGGAGAACCAAAAATGTGATGGACACGAGAGTTGGCTGAGAGTCGGCTTTCTTTGAGCAGCAAGGAAACAGATAAACCTCTGCTGAGATAAACTGAGAAAAAAGAAAAAAAATTCTAGAAATGAAAGGTGGAACTTAATGTCAGATACCATGGAGATTAAAAAATTAAGAAAATATTAAGACCTTTTTACCAAGAAATTGACAAAGTTATTGACATGGACCGTGGGGTAGAGAGGTCTAAGATGACCAAGGTTCACACCCTTGAGTGTGGGCTGGACCTAGTGACTGGCTTTCAACAAAAAGAGTACACGAAAAGTAGTGAAGGTGGCCTCTAAGATGGGGTTTACAGCATTGAGTCTTCAACTAGCTGACTCACACTCTCTCCCCATCTTGCTCTGATGGACAAACTGCCAGGTCGGACAGAACAACTGGCAAAGACCTGAATCCTGTTGACAGCATGAATGAACTTGAAGAAGGACTCTTGCCCTGTCTTGCCTTTAGATAAGACTGCAGCCTCTGTGACACCTGGTCACAGCCCATGAGAGACCTGGGCCTGAGGAGCCAGCTAAGCTGAGCCTGGATTCCTGGGCCACAGAAGCAGTGAGATGGAAAGTGTTGTTATGAGCCAGGAAGTGTTGGGGTCACTTATTACACAGTAACAATGCAGGTCACTCCTTAGAAAAATTACACCAAATCTTATTTTAAAAAGATTAGAAAAGCTGAACAGATCACTAGCTAGTAAAGGAATCAATCAAAATGTAAAAATCTATCTACACAAAAGCCAGGCCCAGGCCAAGAAACTACATATGGAACACATCGCCTCAATCTTACATGGGAGGTAATACTGCCCACTTGGATGATGAGATGAGTGTGACCCGGTCCCAAACCCACTGGGACAGTACAACAGAGGACAGTTACAAGCCATGCACACTTTTAAACAAAGGTGCAACAAATTCTAAACAAAATCTCAACACACCAATTACGGTAATGCAGTAAAATACATCATGGTTGAGATGGGTTATATCCTGAAAAGCAGGAAAATCTACTCATGTACTTTTACCACATTAACTGATAAAAGGAGAAAATTTTATATGTTCAGCTCAACACGCATGGAAAAAGTCTTTGATAAAGCAACATCTTCAGTCAAATATTCATGACATCTATCTGGAGAAAACCATAATTCAAAAAGATACGAGCGACTGCAGCGTCCCCCGGGGAGGGGGGCGCCGGCGAGGCCGAGCCGGAGATGGAGCCCATCCCCGGCAGCGAGGCCGGCATTGACCCCCTCCCGGTCACGGCTACTGAAGCATCTGTGCCGGACGGCGAGGCTGACGGGCAGCAGTCCTCTCCTCAGGCCGACGAACCGCCGCTCCCGCCGCCGCCACCGTCGCCGGGGGAGCTCGCCCGCAGCCTGGAGGCGGCGGGGCTGGAGCTGGAGCCTGAGGAGAAGCTGCCCGCTCGAGTAGTGGAGCCGGCGGCAGCCGTGCCTCAGGAAGGGCCCAGCTTACCACCTTCTCCTGCACCGCCGCCGGAGGAGCCCCCGGCTCCCGAGGAGCGCCAGGAACCGCCGCTGCCCCAGCCAGCAGCTCCGGCTCTCATGCCGCCGGCAGGCGGGGACTCCGCGGTGTCGCAGCTGATCCCCGGCTCGGAGGTGCGGGTCACGCTGGACCACATCATTGAGGACGCGCTCGTCGTGTCGTTCCGCCTCGGGGAGAAGCTCTTCTCCGGGGTCCTCATGGATTTGTCCAAAAGATATGATGTGCAGAGACTCCCATTCATAGCTCTCCATTCTGTTTCCTGCAACAGCACACACTCTGATGGTATCTCACCTGTTTAGATATGGCTTATTTTAGTGTGTTTTACTTTTAACTGCTTGCCCTCCCATCAAGACACAAGAATCTTCCTCGTTTGGGGAAGAAATACACAATAGAAGTATGGGAAAAGATGGGAGCTTTTACCATTACCGCAAACACTTCTCAAAAGTTTTTTTTAGTTTTTTATTTATAAAGTATTTTGAGTTAGGACTTTTGCACCTTTGTTTTCATAAAACAGAAAGCAGAATAAGACCAGTGTGCTTTCTACTGATGTATTTATTAGCAAGACAGAATGTATGGTTAGCAGTGTGTATGCTATTGAATCAAACAGAAGTGAAGGGCAGTGATTGTGTGAGAATCTGGATTTCAAATCTTCAAAAGGAAGGTGCAAAAAGAGTTATTTGACTGAAGAAGACATTTTTGAAGAGAATCTTTTTGTGGAAAAGGAGCAGGACACATGTTTGGGCCCCATGGGATCCCTGTGACAGTATTTCCCAAAAGGGAATATAAGGATAAACCCGAAGCCATGCAGCTCCAAAGTAATACATTCCAAGAAGGGACAGAAGTCAAGCGTGAAGTGAATGGTGCTGTTCCCAACGACACTTCTCCTGTCCCGCCTCCTGAGCTCAGCTTGGCCGAAAGCCTGTGGACTTCCAAACCACCACCTCTCTTCCATGAAGGAGCACCTTATCCTCCCCCTTTGTTTATCAGGGACACATATAATCAATCAATACCTCAGCCGCCTCCCCGGAAAATTAAGCGACCCAAACGAAAAATGTACAGGGAAGAACCTACTTCAATAATGAATGCTATTAAACTACGACCCAGGCAAGTTTTGTGTGACAAGTGTAAAAACAGTGTTGTTGCTGACAAAAAAGAAATTAGAAAAGGTGGTAGGGCAAGTGACTCTTCTAAATATGAAGATAAAAAACGGAGAAATGAAAGTGTAACTACTGTGAACAAAAAACTGAAAACGGACCATAAGATGGATGGGAGAAACCAAAATGAAAGCCAGAAAAGAAATGCTGTGGTTAAGGTTTCAAATATTACTCACAGCAGAGGCAGAGTAGTCAAAGTTTCTGCTCAGGCAAATACATCAAAAGCTCAGTTGAATACTAAAAAAGTGCTCCAGAATAAAAACATGGATCATGCAAAAGCTCGGGAAGTGCTGAAAATTGCCAAAGAAAAGGCACAGAAGAAGCAGAGTGAAACCTCTACATCCAGAAGTGCGCATTCAAAGGTCCATTTCACATGTCGATACCAGAACCCTAGCTCAGGCTCTCTTCCACCCCGGGATAGTTTAAAGCCCCAAAGATACAGGAATGAAGAAAATGACTCTTCTCTGAAGACTGGGCTGGAGAAAATGCGAAGCAGCAAGATGGCACCCAAGCCCCAGTCCCGTTGCACCTCTACCTGCTCAGCAGGTGAGGCCCCTTCAGAAAGTCAGAGTCCCTCCAAAGGCCCTGAAGAGGCCAGCAGTGGGGTTCAGGACACAACTGCAGTGCTTGTGCCTGGTGAGCAGGAGGAACCGCAGACCCTGGACAGAAAGGGCAGCAAAAGCAGTATCTCTGTTTACATGACCCTAAATCAAAAGAAATCTGACTCTTCCAGTGCTTCAGTGTGTAGCATTGATAGCACAGATGATTTGAAATCCTCCAACTCTGAGTGTAGTTCTTCTGAAAGTTTTGATTTTCCTCCAGGCTGTATGCATGCACCTTCCACCTTCACTTCCTCCTCTTCAAAGGAAGAGAAAAAGCTCAGTAATTCCTTGAAAATGAAAGTCTTTTCCAAAAACGTCTTTAAGTGCGTCACACCAGATGGCAGGACCATATGTGTAGGGGACATTGTCTGGGCCAAGATACATGGCTTCCCCTGGTGGCCAGCCCGTATTCTTACCATAACTGTGAGCCGGAAAGATAGCGGTCTTTTAGTCTGACAGGAGGCCTGTATTTCATGGTTTGGGTCTCCAACAACATCTTTTCTGGCTTTTTCGCAACTCTCCCCCTTTTTAGAAAACTTCCAGTCACACTTTAATAAGAAGAGAAAGGGCCTGTATCGCAAGGCTATCACAGAGGCAGCTAAGGCTGCCAAGCAGCTGACCCCTGAAGTGCAGGCTCTGCTGACACAGTTTGAAACGTGAGCATGGACAGTAAGGTAGGCAAGAACCTTTGGGAGGCGCCCAGGTTTTCTAGTCTAGCAAGGGGTAACTTCTGCAAGACAGCTTGGCCAAACCCGAGAGAGACTGCACTCAGCTGGCTGCTTTTTTATACTTAAACTTATAGCCATTTTTAGACAGAAGCTTAAACTGAACAAGCAATCAAATTTTGTCTTTAGGAAAGGAGATTTTAGCAGTATTTTTCAGTTTTGAAGTCTAAAACCATCCCAAGGCATAGGAGCCATAGCCTGAACTGAAAATGAATTTTTGCAGGGACTGTTAATTGCCATTTGTACCTAGTACTGTGTGTATGTGTATATGTATACACACATGTACGTGTATGTGTGTACGTAGATGCATACATATATAAAATATCGCCTGTCACTGTGTGACACAGGTTGCATATCTGGGATCTTAAGGGCTGGTGAGCTGGGGGGAATAGTAAGGATATTTAATGACTTCTTGTTTTTTAATTAACCAGTACTTTCTATGTGCACAATGGCACAGGAGTTTGATACTTGGATGTCTGACAAACTGCGATGCTTGCTGTTGAGTTGCAGACTGGGGAAGCAGCCCAGTACTGAGGATTAAGACTGTAAAGGCTGGCTAGGTCTGAATCATCGCGCCCTCTCTCTTGTCCAGTGGGGACTTAAAAACTTTCAAACTTCTGGTTTGGGAGTTTAGATAGGTTTGTCTTTGGATATGTAAATAGTTGATTGCTAAATTTGGTCAGATTTCTCCTGACTGACTGGCTGTTCCTAAATTCTTAGGATACGTCCTGGTAAATTACACTTTGTGAATTAATTGTCATATATGTAATTGTTGCATTCTGGATGTACCTAGTTTGATAATTTAAAAAAAAATTCTGTTTAAGGTTATCTGTTTGCAGGTCAGAAAATGAGAAACTGTAATTGTGTAATGCTTTGAAATGTAAAAAAAAAAAAACAAGCTGTAAATAAAATCGACTAAATAAAAAAAAAAAAGATACAAGCACCTCAATGTTCACAGCAGCACTATTCACAATAGTCAGGACATGGAAGCAACCTGAACATTCATCAACAAAGGAGTAGATAAAGAAGATGTGGTACATATATACAGTGGAATAGTACTCAGCCATAAAAAGAATGAAATAAGGCCATTTGCAGCCACATGGATGGACCTAAAGACTGTCATACTTAGTGAAGTAAGTCAGAGAGAGACAAATACCATATGATATCACCTGCATGTGGAGTCTTAAAAAATGGTACAAGTGAACTTATTTACAATACAGAAATAGAGTTACAGATGTAGAAAACATATGGTTACCAGGGGGTAAAGGTATAAATTGGAAGATTGGAATTTACATATGTGAACTATTATATATATTAATAAAATAGATAACTAATAACAACAACAAAAAAAAATTGAACAGATTAAGGGCTAAATTGTAATTTTGTATGAGATGAATTGATATCCTAGAATTTCAGCTATTCCCAAATATGTCTAAATTAATCCTTGTTCTGATGAGGGTAACTTAATGTTGACCCAGCAAACTGAATTCTTGAAGTCAACCAAAAAGATTGAAATCAATAGAAACTGTAAGGAGGATTGTTCTCACCAGGCATTACAACAGAAGTATTAGGCTCCATAAATAATCCAGTTGTAGTCAAAGATTAGATAGATGGTCATTGTGAGAGAAAAGAAAACCCATTTATAGAGTCAAAGATAGTTTAAGATATAATAAGGACAGTTTATTGAATCCTGAAGAAGGAATGGATTATTTAAAATGGTGTTAAAGAAAATGAGCAAACATTAAAACAATCTAGATGGATTTATCTGGAGTAATGATTTAATTGGCATAGTTGTAACGTTTAATTATTCATTTGTCACAGCTCATTTCTCCTCCACCCTCCAGTTTCTCTTTCAGTTTGACTTTCATGATAGCACAGTTTCTTGTTTTTCTCCTGTTTTACTGAAAGATCCTTCTCAGATCCTCAAGGTTGTATCCTATATCAAGGGTCATTAGCTCTCATTTCTTTTGTTTCTCATTTATGTTCACTTTCTCAATGATACCATCCCGCTTCATCTTCACTTTATAAGTTTCATATTTATTTATTTTTTTTAAATTTGTCACCAGTAATATAATATTTATTACTGCTACTACTTAATTCTTCAAAGATCATTTTTTCTCCATTTATTTTTATTAGTTGGAGGCTAATTACTTTACAATATTGTAGTGGTTTTTGCCATACATTGACATGAATCATCCATGGGTGTACATGTGTTCCCCATCCTGAACCCCCCTCCCACCTCCCTCCCCATTCCATCCCTCTGGGTCATCCCAGTGCACCAGCCCTGAGCACTTGTCTCATGCATCCAGCCTGGACTGGCGATCTGTTTCCAACTTGATAATATACATGTTTCGATGCTTTTCTCTTAGATCATCCCACCCTTGCCTTCTCTCATAGAGTCCAAAAGTCTGTTCTATACATCTGTGTCTCTTTTTCTGTCTTGCATATAGGGTTATTGTTACCATCTTTCTAAATTCCATATATATGTGTTAGTATACTGTAATGATCTTTATCTTTCTGGCTTACTTCGCTCTGTATAACGGCCTCCAGTTTCATCCATCTCATTAGAACTGATTCAAATGAATTCTTTTTAATGGCTGAGTAATATTCTATGGTGTATATGTACCACAGCTTCCTCATCCATTCGTCTGCTGATGGGCATCTAGGTTGCTTCCATGTCCTGGATATTATAAACAGTGCTGCGATGAACATTGTGGTACATGTGTTTCTTTCAGATCTGGTTTCCTCGGTGTGTATGCCCAGGAGTGGAATTGGTGGGTCATATGGCAGTTCTATTTATACTTTTTCAAGGAATCTCCACACTGTTCTGCATAGTGGCTGTACTAGTTTGCATTCCCACCAACAGTGTAAGGGGGTTCCCTTTTCTCCACACCCTCTCCAGCATTTATTGCTTGTAGACTTTTGGATAGCAGCCATTCTGACTGGCGTGTAATGGTACGTCATTGAGGTTTTGATTTGCATTTCTCTGATAATGAGTGATGTTGAGCATCTTCTTATGTATTTGTCAGCCATGTGTATTTCTTCTTTGGAGAAATGTCTGTTTAGTTCTTTGGCCTGCTTTTTGATTGGGTCTTTTATTTATTGGAATTGAGCTGTAGGAGTTGCTTGTATGTTTTTGAGATTAATTCTTTGTCCATTGCTTCATCTGCTATTATTTTCTCCCATTCTGAAGGCTGTCTTTTCACTTTGCTTATTGTTTCCTTTGTTGTAAAGAAGCTTTTAATTTTAATTAGGTCACATTTGTTTATTTTTGCTTTTATTTCCAATATTCTTAGAGGTGGGTCATAGAGGATCTTGCTGTGATTTATGTCGGAGAGTGTTTTGCCTATGTTCTCCTCTAGGAGTTTTATAGTTTCTGGTCTTACATTTATATCTTTAATCCATTTTTTCTTTATTTTTGTGTATGGTGTGAGAAAGTGTTCTAGTTTCATTCTTTTACAAGTGGTTGACAAGTTTTCCCAGCACCACTTGTTAGAGAGGTTGTCTTTTTTCCATTGTATATTCTTGCCCCCTTTGTCTCTCTGGGCTTTCTATTCTGTTCCATTGATCTATATTTCTGTCTTTGTGCCAGTACCATACTGTCTTGATGACTGTGGCTTTGTAATAGAGCCTGAAGTCATGCAGGTTGATTCCTCCAGTTCCATTCTTCTTTCTCAAGATTGCTTTGGCTATTCGAGGTTTTTTTGGTATTTCCATGCAAACTGTGAAATTATTTGTTCTAGTTTTGTGAAGAATACCATTGGTAGCTTGATCGGAAGTGCATTGAATCTATAGATTGCTTTGGGTCGTATACTCATTTTCACAGTATTGATTCTTCCAATCTATGAACATGGTATATTTCTCCATCTATTTGTGTCCTCTTTGATTTCTTTCACCAGTGTTGTATAGTTTTCTATGTATAGGTATTTTGTTTCTTTATGTAGATATACTCCTAAGTATTTTATTTTTTTTCTTGCAATGGTGAATGGTATTGTTTCCTTTGTTTCTCTTTCTGTTTTCTCACTGTTAGTGTATAGGAATGCAAGGGATTTCTGTGTGTTAATTTTATATCCTGCAACTTTACTATATTCATTGATTACCTCTAGAAATTTTCTGGTAGAGTCTTTAGGGTTTTCTATGTAGAGGATCATGTCATCTGCAAACAGTGAGAGTTTTACTTTTTCTTTTCCTATCTGGATTCCTTTTATTTCTTTTTCTGCTCTGATTGCTGTGGCCAAAACTTCCAAAACTATGTTGAATAGTAGTGGTGAGAGTGGGCACCCTTGTCTTGTTCCTGATTTTAGGGGAAATGCTTTCAGTTTTTCACCATTGAGGATAGTGTTTGCTGTGGGTTTGTCATATATAGCTTTTTTTATGTTGAGGTATGTTCCTTCTATTCCTTCTTTCTGGAGAGTTTTTATCATAAATGGATGTTGAATTTTGTCAAAGGCTTTCTCTGCATATATTAAGATAATCATATCGTTTTTATCTTTCAATTTGTTAATGTGGTATATTACATTGATCGATTTGTGGATATTAAAGAATCCTTGCATTCCTGGGATAAAGCTCACTTGGTCCTGATGTATGATCTTTTTAATATGTTGTTGGATTCGGTTTGCTAGAATTTTGTTAAGGATTTTTGCATCTATGTTCATCAGTGATATTGGCCTGTAGTTTTCTTTTTTGTGGCATCTTTGTCTGGTTTTGGAATTAGGGTGGTGGTGGCCTCAT